GGGGGGGGAGCTGTGACTCTTTCTGCAGCCCTTTCACTGCTTCTCCTTAGCCCCTTTTTAGTGCTGTCTTTCAGCCACACCCCTGATCTTACGGTAGGTAAAATCTAAAAAAAGGGCTAAAAATATCGGAGGTCCCGTGTGCAAGTTTTGCACGTTAAAGATTCCTTGGTTGTCCGAAATCGCCCGGGTAAAATTTAAAATTTAACTACCAACTGAAAATGTTAGAGGTGTCCCGCGTGCTCATAGGACCTTATGTAGTTGCGAGCGCTGTAAAACACTTACAAAACCCCCCAAAAATAGAACAACAACAACGACAAAAAAGACCACCAAAAAAAAAACCCAACAGCAAAACAGCAAACGGAAACCTATCGAACGTGGGTGATTGGCGGGGGATCTGATGCAGCTTACACTTTCTTTCCTATCATCCTTATCGCTCCTCTATCTTTCCTTTGTGTTTCCCTCCAATAACACATCTAATCTTGGGCACTCATATGACCTTGTGTGTTGCAGTGCTCTTACTTATCAAATATACTAAAGTAGATTTTCGCAAAGATCGTCGACTCTGAGGAACCTAAAGCCTGTCTTGATGTCGGCGCCGTCGGTTTAGGAAAGGTCGCGGGTTCGATTCCCACCTGGAGCATAGAGTTGTGTCCTAGGGAAAGGCACTTGACAAGAATGTTCCGCGCTTCACCCAGGTGGGAATGGGTACCCAGCCATAGATAGCGACAGATCTTGTAAGTTTGTAACATGCAATGCGTGGGTACATAATTCGCTGCTTGCAATATATTATGCCTCCCTGGAAGCTGAGAATGAGTCTGAGAATTCAAGGGCCTTTTTAAAAAAATGGTGAAATGGTATAGATTTAACGCCCGTATCAACACTATTAGGCTATTTATGAGGCCCGTTCAAGTGTCTGCTTGGGTAATAATAATACTAATATAGATCGTTAAGTACATATATTATAAAGAATGTGGTTCAGCGCAGCGATATCATATTATGCCACCCGGGTCGAGGGGATATAAATAGACCCACTGCTCCGCCAGCAGGAGGTGCAACCCCTTCACTGGTGAGTTGTCGCCCATGGATATCTGTGCTTAGGTGCACATGGGCGACACTTGCTTTGGTGTATCGTCTGTTTTCTATTGTCTTTCTTCCTTCTTCTTTCATCCTTCCCCGAGCTGACCGGGGAATAAAATAAAAATAGTTGGCTGTCCCATCAACAGTGGGTGTAAACCCCCCGCTGGTGGGATGTCACTCGTGCGTCACAAGCTCTATGACGTAGGGATGGCATCTGATTCTTTTGTCCGCTCTTGCTATGTCTTCTGTCCATCTATCTTTCTTTCCGATCTGTCGACCGAATGTCCGGTCCAGAAAAAAA